AGCTTGAGGCTCTGTCTCAAAAAAAAAAAAAAGAAAAAGAAAAAGAAATATTTGCTGGGTGCAGTGGCTCATGCCTGTAATCCTAGCACTCTGGGAGGTCGAGGTGGGTGAATTGCTTAAGTTCATGAGCAAAAGCGAGAACCCATCTCTACTAAAAATGGAAAAACTGGGCAGTGCCTGTGGTTCAGTAGGTACAGCACTGGCCCCATACACCAATGGTGGCAAGTTTGAACCTGACCCCGGCCAAACTGAAACAAAAAAAAATAGCTGAGCGTTATGGTGGGCGCCAGTAGTCCCAGCTACTCAGGAGGCTGAGGCAAGAAAATCGCCTAAGCCCAGGAGTTGGAGGTTGCTGTGAGCTATGATGCCATGGCCCTCTATCCGGGGTAACAGCTTGAGACTCTGTTTCAAAAAAAAAAAAAAAAAAAAAAGAAAGAAAAGTAATATTTGGCCGGGTGTAGTGGCTCATGCCTGTAATCCTAACATGCTGGGATGCTGAGGTGAATGGATCACCTGAGCTTGGGAGTTAAGCTTGAGCTTGGGAGTTAAGCTTAGGCACTTAAGACCAGCCTGAACAAAAGTGAGACCTAAAATCAGAAAAACTAGCTGGGTGTTGTGTCCTATAATCCCAGCTACTCTGAGGCAAGAGGACTGGTTGAGCCCAAGAGTTTGGAGTTGCTGTGAGCTATGACACCATGGCATTCTATCCAGGGTGACAGAGTAAGACTCTATGTCAAAAAAAATGAAAGAAATATTGATTAATTTGCCACCTCTCTGCCAGACAAGGGCAGGGTACGTGGCTGTGGATATGGGATTGGCAGAATCCTGGCCCTCTTGGTTCATTGATGTAATGGAGGGAATGAGACAATGTACTACAGAATTAAAAGGCATTAAGAAGGTTAAAGAGAACATTGTGATAACCACTGACTTGTGTACTATTCTCCCTGGAGGGGAAGGGCTGCATCCAAGAGGGGACATTGGAGCTGAGGCTTGAATGACTAGGAACCTGCTGTGAGGTTAGCTGGTGGAAAAGTGTTGAATGAGCAATAGTTGCTCTGCTAAGGAATGAGCTTGTACTCATTCCTAAGGGCTCATAACCTGGAGTCTGCAGACTGCCAAATGCCAATGGAGAGAATTCAGGACACCCAGGAACTTGTATGTGTTTTTATATAACAGGGTTCCTCTGCCATCCTGGGTTTTATTTTATGCACTTTCAGACCTTAGTCTGAGGTGGGTTTGTAAACATCATCAGATACACAGGGATCCATGCCTCCCCCCCCCAAATAATTAAAAGTTCTTTAAATTCACTATTCCAGAAATTTCCCCAGACCTCTGTCTTCACGCTCTTGCTGCTGTTTGTGTTTGTTACTGTGCCCAACATATTGGATTAGATTGGTCCTATTACCCATCCATTTCCTCCTTTAGACTGTATAATGAGGGCAGAGACCCTGTCTGCTTTGTTCACTATTAATGTCTCAGCATAGGCATATAGTACATATTTAATAATTACTTGTTGAATGGGCGGGCTGAATGAGTGGAGACCCAGCCCGTAGTTATCACCATACCAACCATACTTGTGTGAGTATCTGTCTTCCCCTTCCATCCCAACCAGGTATTCTGTGAATACTTCAAGGAGCTGGAGGAAGAGAGCATCCGAGATAACTTTGTCATTGTCTATGAGCTGTTGGATGAGCTCATGGACTTCGGCTTTCCCCAGACCACCGACAGCAAGATCCTGCAGGAGTGAGTTGACTGACGGGGCAATCACAGGCTGAGCGGGGGTGGAAGCAACTTAAGGAGGGCTAAGGAGGTGTCCTTCGTGGGTCCACCTGCTTGTCCCCTGCTACCCTCCTGCCAGGTACATCACACAGCAGGGCAACAAGCTGGAGACAGGCAAGTCACGGGTGCCACCAACTGTCACAAATGCTGTGTCTTGGCGCTCTGAGGGCATTAAGTACAAGAAGAATGAGGTCTTTATTGATGTCATAGAGTCTGTTAACCTGCTGGTGAGCCCCCACACCTCTGCTCCATCCCTATCATGCCTGGGAGCTGGAGAGGGGGTTGTGTACATGGTGACCTATCCTATGTACTCTACAGGTCAATGCCAATGGCAGCGTCCTGCTGAGCGAGATCGTGGGCACCATCAAGCTCAAGGTCTTTCTATCCGGAATGCCAGAGCTGCGACTTGGCCTCAATGATCGTGTGCTCTTTGAGCTCACTGGCCGTAAGCAATTTTGGAGCCCCCTTGCCTTGAAGCCCACAGGGGATCCAAACATCCTGCCCCCTCTGAAGATCCAGAGTTGCCCGTTTTGAACTAAGTGCTCACACGTCCTCTGCTGGTCAAGGCTGGTGCTGCAGCTTCTAGTTCACTGCCCAAATGCTGGTTCATGATTAAACAAGCACTTGCTTTGTGCCAGGCGCAAATTTAGGCTCTGAGGACAGAGGTGAAGAAAAAGATAAATCACTTTCATAATGGAGCTGATAGCAAGAGTTAGGCTCCCTGGGTTTACATCACATCTCTGTCCTGCTATTGTTCATCTTCTCTAGGCCTCAGTTTCCTCATCTGTAAAATAGGGGTAATGGTAAGCATAGGCAGGGAAGGTGAGAGGGAAGGTGGCAGGGTCACTCTGCACTCTCACCTTTGAGTTTCAGGCAGCAAAAACAAGTCTGTGGAGCTAGAAGATGTCAAATTCCACCAGTGTGTGCGGCTCTCGCGCTTTGACAATGACCGCACCATCTCCTTTATCCCTCCCGATGGTGATTTTGAGCTCATGTCTTACCGCCTCAGCACGCAGGTGAGGTAGCATCAAGCTCCATCAGGTGGCACAAGCTGGGGGCTAAGGTGTGATCTCAGAGTCTCCACAAGCTTACCTTCCTCTGTCTGCAGGTTAAACCGCTGATCTGGATTGAGTCTATCATTGAGAAGTTCTCTCACAGCCGTGTGGAAATCATGGTCAAGGTGGGCCCAGGGGGACACTTTTTTTTTGTAGAGACAGATTCTCACTTTATCACCCTCAGTAGAGTGCTGTGGCATCACAAGCTCACAGCAACCTCCAATTCCTGGGTTTAGGCAATTCTGTTGCCTCAGCCTCCCAAGCAGCTGGGACTACAGGCACCTGCCATAACACCTGGCCATTTTTTTGTTGTAGTTTGTCTGGGGCCGGGTTTGAACCTGCCACCCTTGGTATATGGGGCCAGCGCCCTACCCACTGAGCCACAGGTGCTGCCCCCAGGAGGGACACTTATTGACAACGCATGAGTTTGGTCAGGTGTGGTGGTGCATGCCTATAGTCCCAGCTACTGGGGAGGCTGAGACAAGGGGATTACTTGAGCCCAGGAGTTTGAGGGTACAGAGAACTCTAATGATACCACTGCTGTCCAGTCTGGATGAGGAGCCAGACACTGTTTAAAAAAAAAATTCCGGCTCGGCGCCTATAGCTCAACCGGCTAAGGCGCCAGCCACGTACACCTAAGGTGGCGGGTTCGAATCCCCAGCCCGGACCCGCCAAACAACAATGATGGCTGCAACCAAAAAACAGCCAGGCGTTATGGCGGGCGCCTGTGGTCCCAGGTACTTGGGAGGCAGAGGCAGGAGACTCGCTTGAGCCCAGGAGTTGGAGGTTGCTGTGAGCTGTAATGCCACGGCACTCTGCCCAGGGGGACAGCTTGAGGCACTGTCTCAAAAAAAAAAAAAAAAAAAAAAATTCCTTGTCCACTCTCTTGTGACTCCCTCTGCCATGGTTTAGCTCTGCCTTTGGTCTCCTGGTTCCTTGTTTCCCCTCTTGTCCCACACAGTCTGGTTCTCAGAAGGTGGCAATAAGTACCTGAATCAGGTCATGACCCTATACTTGGAACCCTCCTTGGCTCCCACCTCACTTGGGATAAAAGCCAAAGTCCTCCTTGAGGCCCAGAAGTCCCTGTGTGGTCTGTCTAGTCACCTCTCTGTCCTTGTTTCTTCTTTCTCCCTTGCTTTCAGCCACGCCAGCCTCAGTTTCCTACCACTCGTCACCCTCTCCCTGGATCACCCTGACCCCACACACCCAGATATCTACATGGCTCTATCCTTCACCTCTTTCAGTTTTGACACCTTTTCAGGGAGGCTTTCCCTGGCTGCTCTATTAATTTATTGTTGTTTGGTTTTGTTATTTATTTATCAGGGTCTCACTCTGTTGGCCTGGTTAGAGTGCAGTGGCATCATCATAGCTCACAACAATTTCAAGTTCCTGGGCTCATTCGATCCTCTTGACTTGGTCTCCCAAAGTGCTGGGATTATAGGGGTGAACCACTATGCCCAGCCAGTGTAAGTGAATTCTTCCTGCCCTTTGCTCTTTCCCGTGACAGGCTAAGGGGCAGTTTAAGAAGCAGTCAGTGGCCAACAGTGTGGAGATCTCTGTTCCAGTACCTAGTGATGCTGACTCCCCACGCTTCAAGACCAGTGTGGGCAATGCCAAGTACGTGCCGGAGAAGAATGTCGTTATTTGGAGTATTAAATCCTTCCCGGTGAGCACTGGAGACAGGTGGGAAACCTGGGAGGGGGGCTGATCAGTGTGGAGATGCCCAAGCTGTGTGGAGGTAGAGAATAAATCAGGGACCCACACACATGCGCACATGGTTTTTCTTTGTAAGTGATAAAGGTAGGAGTCAGACTGGTCTGTTTCACAGATGTACAAAGTGAAACTCCATAAGGGGAGTTTAAGTGCTCCCTCATCAAGGTCTTAAGGAAACCATCCTTGTCATCTGGTAGGGTAGGGATCATTAGAGCCTGAGAAACAGGTGAAAATTAGAATCACACCACTGATTGGGTTTTGTAGTCAGAAACTTCTGCTGAGAATCTTAGCCAGGAGCCTTTACTTTCTTGTTTCTGAAATGGGGTAAGAGGAGAACTGGCTGTGGGGTCTGCTGTGAAGATGGTCTGGGCCAGGTAGGAGGCCCTGTGGTGTGTCTGATGCCCCTGTATGCCCTCAGGGGGGCAAGGAATACCTGATGCGAGCCCACTTTGGGCTCCCCAGCGTGGAGAAGGAGGAGGTGGAGGGTCGGCCTCCCATTGGAGTTAAATTTGAGATCCCCTACTTCACTGTCTCCGGGATCCAGGTGAGGGAAGTGGGCAAGTCTCCTTGACCTCCACTGGCTCCTCTCTCTCTTGTCCAGTGGCTCATCTCCGTTCCCTGTGTCACCACCACTTGAAAGTCTCCCTTCAGTGTTGCTTCTTTTGCTTGCAGCGGGTTTCCTCTCTGGCCTGTGCTACCTTGTCCCCCAGTACATTGTTCACTTTTTCTCCATCTTCTATCTGTAAGCTATTCACCTTTCCCTTGGTCTGTGCTACCTTGTCCCCCCCAAAACCATATCAGGTTGCCTTTCTTACACTGTGCCATCTTTTTCCCCACTGTCCTTGACTATTTCCCCTCGCCCATTCATGCCATGTCACCTCATTACTCCCAGCATGTGCTGTCATGTTCTCCCAAGTTGTGCTATATGTATTCCCTTGGCCTAAGCTACCTCTTTGTCCCTGGCCACCTCACTCCCACAAGCCTGGGCCACCTCTTCTTATCCCTTTCCAGGTTCGATACATGAAGATCATTGAGAAAAGTGGTTACCAGGCACTGCCCTGGGTTCGCTACATCACCCAGAGCGGAGGTAAGGCAGCCTAATTCCCTGGGATGACAGGGTCAAGGAAACAGAAAGGAAGTGGACACTTGGGACTTTGACCACATTCTGGTTCAGAAACTTAATAGCCCTAGCACATGTTTGTTACTCATTGTCATGCCACCCTGGGCCTTGGTTTGTACATCTTTAAAATGGGGGCATAGCTCAGGTGTGGTGGCTCATGCCTGTAATCCCTGTATTCTGGGAGGCCAAGGCAGGTGGATTGCTTGACTTTAGGAGTTCAAGACCAGTCTGAGCAAGAGTGAGATCCTGTCTCTAAAAGTAGAAAAACTAGCCAGGCATGGTGGCACATGTCTATAGTCCCAGCTACTTGATAGCCTGAGGTAAGAGGATCTCTTGAGCCCAATAGTTTGAGGTTGCTCTGAGCAATGACTGCACAGTACTCTACCCAGTGTAACTGAGTGAGACTCTGTTTCTAAATAAATAAATAAATATTTTTATTTTAGTTTTTGAGACAGTGTCCTACTATGTCACCCTCAGTAGAGTGCCGTGACGTCACAGCTCACAGCAACCTCAAACTCTTGGGCTTAAGTGATTCTCTTGCCTCAGCCTCCCAAGTAGCTGGGACTACACACGCCCGCTGCAATGCCTGGCTATTTTTTGTTGTTGTTGGAGTTATCGTTGTTGTTTAGCAGGCCACGGCCAGGTTTGAACCCGCTAGGTGCCCTTAGTGGGTGCATGTGGTCTGAGCTACTCAGGAAGGTGATATAAGAGGATTGCTTGAGCCCAGGAATTTGAGGTTGCTGTGAGCTATGGCACCCTGGCAATCTACTCAGGGCAACAGAGTGAGACTATGTCTCCTATGTATATATATAT